AACTTAGAGGAGGAGAGGTTTATGTTGTGGTCTCAGARGTTCAGTTCACGGTCAGCCAGCTTCCAGAAGAAGCGTCGTGGTGGGAGGGGGTGGTGGAGGAAAGCTGCTCAGGGGCCTGGAACAAAGGAGACAGAAAGGAAAGGGGCACAGAGAAGACGAGCCCCGTAGTGCATGACCCCAGTGACCTCGTTCCTCCAGCTAGGCCCCTCTCAGTAGTCCACTCAGCCATCGATGGATTAATCCACTGCTGAGAGCAGAGCCCCCTTGATCTCATCTTTTCCCCAAAGCCCCACCTCTGAGCACACGAGGCTTGGGGGACATCCCATATCCAAACCCCTCTGTGAGCATGGTATAGACCTTTCCATTCATTTAGGATCATTTTCAGTCAGTCTGGAGTATCTTGATCCATTCCTAGGAAACTTAGAGTTCTGTTGTTACTGTAAATGCCTTTTTTCCTCCCTTCCTGCTTCCCTTTTCTTTTTAAAGCCGGCAAGGAGTTTATTTTTCTTATACKAAGAGGTGAGTGTCCAGGACGGGTTGGGCAGTCGGTTATGCTGTCGAGGGCCCACACTCCTGGAGCCTGCAGCTGGTTTTCTCCTGGCCATGAGATGAGTCCTCCAGCTCCAGGAATGGGGCCCCAGGTCCTGGAGGGAGCAAGTGGGATGGAGAAGGGTTGGGGGGGGGGCAAAGGGCAGAAGGTGGAGAGGATGGATCAATCATTCTGTTCCAGGTGACTTTTCTCGACTTGTCCTTGGCTGGGAGCAGGAGTCACAGCAACCCTTGTGCCATGGTTTGGCTGTGGCTTGTCCCCCAAAGGCTCATGTGTTGGAAGCTTGGTCCYCCTGGTGGAGCCTATTGGTGGGGCCCAATTCGAGGTGGTTGGGTCACTGGAGGCACGCCTTTGGAAGGGACCAAAGTAGTTCTCTGCAAGTGAGTTACGAGTTATAAAAAGAGCCCGCTGGGCCCTCGATCTCGCTCTGGCTTCCTGTCTTACTGCATGGTCCCTCCCTCTTGCACATGCTCCCACCGCGATGCTCCCAGCCATATTGTGATGTGCAGCTAAGGGTGCCCTCACCTGAGCRGCTTCCAGGTCTTGTCTTTTTAGCTTCCAAAACTATGATGAGTAAATAAATCTCTCTCTCACTCTCTTTTTGGTAGTACTGGTGAAGGAACCCAGGAGTTAGATCAGCCCTTTTGAGGTTTAAGACAGGATTTCACTAAGTTGCCCAGGCTGACCTTGAGTTTGCAATCCTCCTGCCTCAGCTTCTCAAGTAGCTGGAATTACAGGTGTGTGCCACCACTCCTGGCCAACCTCTTCTGTATAAGTACCCAGCATCAGGTACTTTGTTATAGCAAGAGAAAAGGGACTAACACACCTGGTTGCAAAAAAGATTGGGGGTGGTGACTTTTTTTTTTTTAATAGCTGCCTTGAACARACCTAGATTTCTGTTAGTAAGGAAGAACGACTACGAGATTGACGGTCTCTAGGAATACTATTTACCTTAAAGTCTTACTTACTTATRTATTTATTTAGTGGTGCTGATGGTCAGACCCAGGGCCTGTGCAGGCTAGTTAAAGTCTTATTTTAGTGGAACTGTGCCAATGTGGTTGTTATTTCTTTTCCCCCATCCTTTTACTCTCAGTCTTTGTGTTCTTGTTTTATGCAAATGGCATATGGCTGAATTTTATAAAATACAGTCTATCTTTATATTTTTAAGGACAAATTTATCCATTTGTGTTTACTGCAGTTACTTACATAATTTAATTTCGACCCATGACCCTTGTTTTTCTGCTATTTGTCTCTTTTTAAAAAGCATTTGTTTTTATCTCCTGTTTTCTTACTTTGCAGTCATTTTTTTCTCATTTTACATTTTTTTCTCCAAATTTAAAGTTTTATGATTATTTCTATTCTTTTAGTAATTGTCTTTGAACTCTTACTAAAGGACTTGCATTTAACTATTCCAATCAGGTATTAGTTGCCTGAACACATGAATAAATAAGCTAGCAAAGGCTAAATTGAATTAACTTCTTTTCCAAACAAAGTCTATAAAACCCTTTAACTTTATTGTTTTTTGCCAGGAGGGAAAGAAAGAATTTTGCCATTTCTTTGTTTTGTTTTGTTTTTGTACTAGGGATTGAACCCAGGGGCACTTAACCTACTGAGCCACATGCCCAGGCCTTTTTATATTTTATTTTGAGACAGGGTCTCTGAGTTGCTTAGGGACTTGCTAAGTTGCTGAGGCTAGCTTGCAATCCTGCTGGCTTTGAACTTGCAATCCTGCTGGCTTTGAACTTGCAATCCTCCTGCCTCAGCCTCCTGAGTTACTGGGATTACAGGTGGGTGCCACTGAGCCTGGCTAATTTTGCCGTTTTTTTTTTTTTTTTGCTCAGTGTCACTTGAGTGCTTTTAAGATGTCCTTTTTGGGGCCTGAGATTGTGGCTCAGCGGTAGAATGCTCACCTAGCACATGTGAGGCACTGGGTTCAATCCCCAGCTCCACATATAAATAAATAAAATAAAGGTCTTGTGTCCACTTACAACTAAAACAAAACAAAACAAAATGATGTTCTTTTCGTTTCCTGAAATTTTGCTTTGAAGTGTTTGATGAGAATTTCTTTTCATTTTATGTTTGCTCGTTTCCTCTCTCTGAGAATTATTATTCTGTTGTTAATTCAGGGAATTTCTCAGCCACTGTGTCTGAACATTTCTCTCACTCTGTTTTTTCGTCTTGGGCTTCTGCCTGGACATCGGTGAGACCTGGTGTCTCAGCTGCATTCCAGGCAGTTCCTTCAGACCTGTCTTCTAGTTCACCACTTCTTTCTGCAGCTGTTTGCTTACTGGGATCTTTATTTGAGTTACTATAATTTTCATTTCTAGATGCTCTCATTGGGATCTTAAAATCATATTTGATTACTTTTTAAATTTTCTTATTTTTGCCCATGGTTGAATTACCATTTTTTATTTCTTTGAACATAGGAAACATGCTAACTTTATAACTTTGTATTCTATATCTAAATATGACAGTTTTGAAAGATTTGTGTCCTTGATTTGATGTTTGGAGTTTGTGCTAAATCTCAGGTGTTTGTTTTCCCCCCCTCTGTGAAACCATGCTTTCAGGAATTTATTGGAGCCCCAGGTGAAGGTGAATTTCTCCAAACAGTTTGCATTTGTTTCCGACAGGCGGCGTCTGACTCACTGCCATCTTGAGGGCCTTTAAAGTCTCCTTCCAGGGTTTTTGATCCTCTGAACAATCTGTGGCTTCTTGCTGCAACCAGCTTGTGTCTGTGACTCTCCATCTCACTCCTTTCACCAAGATTCTCCTGGTCATCTCGCTGATGGAGTGGACTCCCCGCAGTTATCCCCTGAGGTGGAAGATTCCTAGAGCTCTTCACTCTGACTGCTCAGCCTGGGAGGCTCTAAGTTGCAGGAGGCTGGCAGAAGCCCAGAGGGCAGTGCACAGGAGGGAGTGGAACAGTGGACTGCTCTCAGCAAGGTTCTGTGTGAAGGGCTGGCCTTGGGCAGTCTTCTTGGCTTTTGGGTTTTGCAGTGTTCCTGTGCTGAGAAGGTGGTTTTATGTCCCTGACACAACTCCACCACCTCGGCTCGCCTGGACTGTACAGATGTGATGTAGGTGCCTGATTTTCCCTTTGGAGTCTTGAATTGTAGTAGCTGTGCAGGCAGAGAGTGCCTCTGTGGCAGCCCCCAATAAAAATTTTTGACTTTTAAGTGGACTTCCCTAGGCAGAAACACAAACATGTTCCTGGGTGGTCTCTCACTTTGGGAGGATGCAGGAAGCCTGGGCTTGGATTCCTCCAGAACCCATCTATTGTTGAGGTTGTCACAGGGGTCCCTTTCACGTAACAGGGTACACTTCAGGCTTTAAATATAAATCTTGCTGCTCAACCACTGGAGGCTTATTTAAAAATGAACGTGTTTCTTTTTTCTTTCTTTCTTTCTCTCCTTCTTCTCCCCTCCCTAACTGTGGGAGAAGCAAGATCAATATTCTTCCTGTCCTACGCTGGGTTTTTTGTATCCTTTGACTCACTGACCAAGGAATGAAAAATTTTTAGGAATCGGTACTAGTAGATCTAAGAGACAGCCATCTCTCAAGGCTACATCTGGTTATGAGTTGTACTCCTGATGGACACACCTGGAACCCGACCCATGTATTCTCCTTTTAAAAAGCCCCCTGTTCCCCCTGGAAGTTACAATTGCAGTCTCTGAATCTTGAATCTGCTGAGTTTCTTATTTGCTGACAAATTAATAAAACTTCTTTTTCCTTTTTCTCAAAAGCTTGTCCTTGTTATCGGATGGACAATGGAGAAAAGAACTGAGTCTTCACTATCAATATGGTGTGTGTCCTTTTTCTGTCACAGAGTAGCCTTGAGTAYAGGCAGAGGCTGCTGGACTTGGTGGGTCCTTCAATTGGAGCCCTGGGCATGTGGAACCTGACACAGGCAGATACTGGTTTCAAGACTCATCTCTCTGAATGCGCCCCTACTTCTTTTATGACATTTGAGAGTTTCCCTCATTTTTCTGGTAGCTTACCCATAAATTTAAAAATAAATGATTCATATCCTGCATTTCAGTTCTTTCCCTTCCATGGGGACAATTATTCTGTTTTTTTTTCATCATACTGTTGGACATCCTCTCTTGAAAAAGATGATTTCTAAAATAATTTTATCTTGGCGTTATGTGTCTACTTCTTAATATTGTCAAATGGTCAAAATAAAAATCCAATCATCAAATGGCTGAGCATTTACCTTTTTAAATCTGAATGACAGGGAGCAGGACTCAGAGTCTCYGCACCCTTCGTCCTTCATACCCAGGCATTAGGATCCACAGCCACAGAACCAGACTCAAAGGGGGTCTAGGTTCAGGGCCAGCAACTCTAGACCCAGGTACAAGGTTGGATCTGTGGGAGGAGCCTCTGGGGTCTGTGATTGGCTCATGCTCCACTGCCCTCCCAGCCAAGAGAACTTCCCTGGAATAGCAAAGTAAGAATCCAGGAGCAATTTATTTTCAAATTACTGCAAAGGAGGGGACAGGGAGGGGTGCAGGATGACGAAGTGAGCAGTGGAGTGGAGAGCTGTTTGAAGGTCGGTGGAGCAGGGCATGGCCATGGTTGTGGGATGAGCACAACCCCATGGTCGTGAGGTTATTGGAGTCTCTTCCCTCCAGTTTGCTGCTTCTTCCAAGAGTCAGAGACRGGGACAGGTAGAGCAGAAGGAGCACCTTCTGCTTCAGAAGGAGTGAGTGCTCAGGGCTAGATCCCATTTGCTCCCAGTAGTTTCTTCTCTTGTCTTTTCTAGGGAGGAAGAGAGCAAGCAACCCTGATCAGGAGAGAAAGGGCAAATTCTCTCTTCCAGGACAGCTTGATTCTGGAGTCAGCCAGATCTAACATTGGCTGAAAGGTACCTGATTCAGAAAGCACCAAAGGGCTAACATAGCTATGAACTTCCCTGGCTTCCTGGGCTCTTGGGCTGGAGACACTTGATTGAAAACAGGATTTCTGAGTTGGGGTAGAAAGGCACGATGTTACTTGGAACTTATATAGAGGGCCCTTTTCCTTCCTAAATCACCCATCCTCCACTGCTGTCTCCTGTGAACAGCTCTACTACCCCCAACACACAGACACACATTCAGGGACTCACCTTCTTCGGGGGGAATCTTCTCCAGCAGTACAGGCACAGGGGGGCCAGAGATGCCAGAAGCAACAGGACCCAGACACCCATGAGCATGGCCTGGAGGCTTATGACCAGGGCCTGGGGACAGAGGGCCAAAGCTAGGGTCACCAGATTCAGTGGCTCTCCTTCCCTTTCCATGCTTTTTGCCAACATGGGTCACTCTGCACCCCTCATCCCCAATTTTGTGGCTTCTGGAGTGAGTCAGTGCATCCTGTGTGTAGGATGCAGCTACAATCCCTTCCCTCTGGGCTCCAGTGTCCTCATCTCTACGGAGATGGACTTGAGTCTAGGACTTGATTCCCTGACAACCTCCAAGACTTGAGAGGACCAAGGGAGCAGGTTCCTTTAATGTCTTTGCAACACTTTTGAAGTGCTGCGGTCCCGGTTTTCTCATGGTCAGTATTTTAGGGCTTGTCTGTGCCACTGGTCTGCAGCACTCACGGTCGCAGGAACTCTTCCTGTGGTGCTTGGTGACGATCATCAGGTGAAGAGCAGGGGCACCTGTTTCTGTGGACGGCCTTATTCTCGCCCCTTCCTGGCCCTCCCTGCCCACTCCTTCACATTGGCCACCTACCTTCAGCATGTTCACCTGGGAGATGCACAGGTTTTGCCTTCTGACTTCTTTGGGACTTGGGGTGATGGGGGATTTAGTGGGCCAGTTTTCTGAGTAGATTTTACAGTCATCTTCATCTACAGAGTACTGGTATTCATGGAAGTAACTAGCCCCAATTASGATGGCTGCAATGGCGGTGCAGAAAGATGCCAGTATGAGAAGGGTCCTCAGCAGGGCCTGGGGAGGGGAGGAGGCAGGGGCAGACTTCAGCAATACAGTCTCTCCCAGAGCCTGCACTGGGGACAAAAGGGCCATGCTTGGTGACATTCAAGTATGGTGGGGTAGGAGGCTTGGACTGGCCTCTCGCCTGAGCCTCCTTCCTTTCCCTGCCCTGACCTGAACTCACCCAGCAGATTCCACCCCGTTTCTCATAAAGAAATCCAGCAACTCCAGCCAGCACGGCCTGGGGAGAGATTAAACCAGCAGTGATGTGCACAGGAAACATGAGTGCCTCTGTGTCCCCATGAGCACATCAAGTATGTTCCCAGGTTTTGCGCTAAGCAGTAGTTATGTAACTGGTGAGGATGCTAAGTTGGGTCAAACCCCTGAGGCTACAGAATGCTCTGTTCTAGTGACATCTAGAAGTGCTTGTGGTCAAGACAGGTGTGAGCCTTTCCTCCCTTCTCCAAAACCCTCCTTTTTGAGCCACAACAGGTGCAATCTTAGGGGTGGAATTCCAGGTTGTTGGAGAAGCTCTCAAGGCAGGATGAGTGTTTGGTCAGCCCCAGGTCCCGGGGCCTGTCCTAACAGCTCTACAGTTCATTTGTTTAGGCTCAAAGAATCAGAAAGTCTGGTGTAGCCCTGAGGACAGATGGATCCAAATCCTGTTTGGCTATTCTGTAACTAATCCAAATGTTTCTATCACTGGATGGATTGGGATGATGTCTTTTGTTTTCTATCTCTCTAAGTGTGTTTTACTATCCCAAGAGTGCAAGTCTGTCGGAGAGTCCCCAGGTCCACCATGAGCAGCCCACTGAGCTTCCGTTGAAGACTGCACACACACATCTCTTGACCTTCGTGCCTGGATTYCCACTGATATGCAGAGCACAACAGGGAACTAGGAGGCTCCGCTTCCTCTGGGGATTGCAGACTCTCTATCTGCCTCCCCTATCTCAGGGCAGACATCTGGAGGTGAGTAGGTCCTTAGAGCCTTAGCTAATAACTGGGACAATGGGAACGAGGACCTAGACTGGTGGGAAGGGCACTGGGCAGGGGACCAGAGAGATGACCCTGTGACTTCAGACATCACCCCACTTCCTTTGGTTATTTCCTTATCTGCACCAATGACAAACTGACCTAGATAATTAGGGACTTTTTGATGGCTAACATTCTGTTCCACCATGTTGGGGTGGTCCTGGGAAGTCCTATCCTTCTGTTGGGAGGTTGGTCACCTGCTGCCTCACTTACCACAGCCCCGGTCCAGATGGCAGCTCCCAAGTAGCAGAATGTGGTGGGCCCGTAGATATAGAGGAATCCCCCCAGGATGCCACTCAGGACACCTAGCACCAGCTGCACCACCTGGAAGACAGAGGACCTAAAGACAAGCTCCTGGGTGCCTGCACAGAGGCAGCCCTACCCCCAGGCCTTATGGTGGCTTTGTGGACCCGTCCTTCAGGTACTGGTGGTTAAAACCCAGAGAGGGGACTCTTTCAACTCATTCCCCTGCCTCCTGCCCCATGCCCTGCTTGTAATGAGAAGATGGAGAAACTGATTTCTAGGAARAAGAGAAAACTGGCCCAGCACCTATTTGGAGAGAGACTGGCRGAGAGTGTGTGACCCACAAGAAGAGGGTCCTTCCCTTGGCCTAATGTGAGGGACTGGGATGTCCCACCAGGGCCCYGTGAGATGGGCAGCCACACTCACCCAGGAGGCCACCAGCAGCCGGCTGTTGCCCAGGGTCTGAGGGGCTGTGCCTCCGGGGAGGGCTGGGAGCCGCAGCAGAGAGCATCCTGCCAACAGGAGCTTGGCCAGAGCCGACTCCTGGTGGAYGTGCACACTGATGTGGGTGGGTGGCAGGGCCTCGGGAGCCACCTCAGCATCGTCTGCAGTCCCCATGTCCTTGGATAACAGGCTGTGGGGGAGGACAGGAGAGCGAGGAAGAGCAGCTGGCAGATGTTCAGTGGAGTTCTGGAGATCAGGGCCAGAGTGCCCAGGGTCCCTGGGTGGCTGCCCTGGTCACAGAGCCACACGTGTGGCCCTTCTTGAAGGCTGTCTTCAGGGCAGCCTGACCCTGGCAGGGCTCCTCCTCCACCTCATGTCTGTTCCTGCCCTCACSGTCAGATCCTGGCGTCAGGGTCAAGCTCTCCATGGGCCTCACCTGTCCACCACCTGCCCCCAGCTGGGCTCTCCTCTGGCCTCTCCTCTCCAGAGCCCTCTGACTGTTCAAATCCCGAGGCCCCCAAGCTCTGGCCCTCTGTTGAGCTTCTTTTGGTGGCTCTTCCCCAGTGGGTCCTGGAGACCCCTCAGTCCCCAGTGGGGGTCCTCCCTGTCCACTGAAGCTCACTCAGCACTGACCCTGCCACTTGCCCCACTAGTGGTGGGTGGAGGTCAAAGGCCAGAACCCTCCTTGCCTCTTCCCTTCCCGTCTGCTGGCGCCATCCCTCCCCGGMCAGCTCTGAGGGAGCCAGGCCTGTGGGGGGCCAGGTGGTGCTGGGGGGCCAGGCTGGGGCCTCCTCACCTGCTCTCCTCAGGGCCCCTGAGCGAGTGTGTGGCAGGGAGAGCTGTGAGGACCCTGCCCTGGCTGAAGGAGGAAGTTGGTGGGAGCCAGAGGGATGGAGACAAGGGCAGTGACCAAACTTTAGCACTTCCCAGCAGACAGCTGGGGCTGGGGGTCCTCAGGGGCTTTCCAGACTACGGTGTCACTGGGCACTGGGGAGCTGGAGCCATGAAGGGTAGGCACACAAGTGACATGCCCAGGGGGGTCCTATGAAGGTGTCCCCTCTTCCAGCCCCTGTCAGGCCTGGGCTTTCTGAGCAAGTGTGTGCCTCTGCTGCGTGCTGTCCGAGTAGGGGTGTGTGTGTATGATGGAACCCCCCCGAGATGGGCCCCTTGGTTTCAGCCCCTTGCTGGGAAGTTTCCAGGCTGCCTCAGGCCCTCTCCCTCCACCCCTGCCTCCTGCTCCCCTCCCTCCCAACCACCCTGCAGGGTCCTCAGCGCCAAGTCTTCTCCTCCCAGCTTGCTCGGCTCTGCCAGCTCCCAGAGGACAGCAGGTGAGGCAGGGCCCTCCACTGCCCAGGGTCCCTTCAAGACTGAAGTGGCCTGAGGGGAGGAGAGGCTGGCACCTGCTCTGCCCCACCTTCCCCAGCGCCTCGTCTCTGTCCCAGGCTTGGGTGGATGGAACTCCTTCAAGACTGAGCCCTGAGGGCTGTGGGTGGAGGGAGCAGGGTGCTGTGTCCCCAATCAGTGGAAGGTGGGGATGGAGTCTTCGGGGTGCTGGAGGGTCCAGATCTTGCTCTTCAGAGGGTTGGAGTGGAGTGGGAGGAGTACCCAGGGAGCCTTCCGGTAAAGTATCTGGGCACAGGACACATTCGTACTGCAACCTGATGCCAACTCTGGGTCCCCAACAGAAGATCTGAAATCAGGGCTGGTCTTCCTTCTGTGTGCCCATGAGTGAGCCTGGATCTCTTTTTTGCCTCCTCCAAGCTATCAAACACCTGTTCTTTTACCTCAAAGAAGGCTGCTGGTGGAGGTGGTGGTGGGGTGTGAGATGTTCTGAGAGTGGCAGCATACCATGGGAGGTGGTATCGGAGTCGATATTACTATCTGATTTAATCTGCGACACTTCACTTGCATGCCTTGTTAGAGTCACCTGTGTAGGATTTCTCTTGGAGCTAGGGAAGTCAATTTTAAATTATATATGGAGAAATAATTTCACAAAAATGGGCATGATGATTTTGAAAAAAATAGCATAGGGAATCACAAAACAGCATAATCAGACATTAAACTCTATACTAATTAAATTGGAGTAATGGTGCAGAGCTCATCAGACACACCAATGGGCAGAGTAGGAAGACTGGAGCAGACCTCCCTTCCTATGGGAACTTTGTTTTTGCTCAGGAGAGCATCTTGAGTTGCTGGAAGATGACATATTTCACAAACAGACACTATCCTTCAGAAGTTAAGCATCGGAACAACTACAAAAACTCAGATCCACGTCTTCCAAACTAGGACACAAATTCCAGAGGGATCAATATTGAAAAGTAAAACCAAAAGCCTAAATCACTTAGAAGAAAACATGGGAGAGTTATTTTAACGTCTGGAACTGGGATGACCTTTTAAAGCATGTAATGTGACCTAGGAAGCATAAAAAGGAGGAAGAGCTTTTATAAATTTAACCTAGAGTTATAAAAATGAAAACTATGAAAATACAAGCAAAGTCAAAATATAAGTAAGAACTTGGAAAGAAATAACTGCAACTCGCGGCAGAGATTGTAATCTTTTTTGAATATACAAAGAAATTCAATAAAGACCAAAACAAAATAAAGCAGGAAGCACATAGGATATAGAGGAAGAGCTCACAAAACAAATGACAATGGCTCTTAACACTTGAAAAGATGATGGGCCTCATTTATGATAAGAATGAAAATTAAAATATAATAGATACTGGAATATATTTGAATGAAAATTTAAAATATAGTGGAATAGCTCCAGAAGGCAGATCGGCAGTTGCCTGCAGCTGGTGGTTGGGGTGCTTACTGGGGAGAATCATTGAATCATTTTTTTTCAACATAGATATCTATAATCTTGATCRTAATAGTGGTTGTACAAAGGTATAAATTTGTCAAAATTCATTGATGATCTCAATGCTTTAAATGCTTATCGCATTTAAAATGGAGCATTTTATTGTGCAAAATTACTAACATCTRCAATGGAATGTTATTTCCCATCTAATATTGAAATAGAAGAGTTTTCTGCACCTTCTTGTGCCGTGGGGAGGGCAGCTCCACTCCTGTCGGCTGCTGCTCCCTCTGTGGAGAGCGACTGTTCGTACCCTCTGTACGATTGTAATGCACATTTCCACATTGGCTGTAATAGAAAAGCATGGGAAATGACCTAAAGGCTGKCAATCAGGGAACTTATATAAATCATGATAGATTCATACACCTGATGCTATGGAGCCAAGCAAATGAATAAAGAAGCTTTTCATGGATACATGTAGGATTGTTCTGCAAACATATACTAATAGGAAAGCAGTATTGTGCTGGCCAGTGTGTACAGGATACTGCCATTTCTAGGAAAAGGGGCGAGAAAGATTATTTTTAGACCATTTTGGGTGTGAAAACTGTCATTGGAAGATATGTAGGAAACGAATCATATTAGTTTCCATTTGGGAGGCAACTAGACGTCAGGGAGAAAAAGACAGAAGAGAGATTTTAAAGGTATAATGGAGATGGAACCCAGGGCCTCGCACWTGCCAGGCAAGTGCTGTACCCCGAGCCACATCTCCATATCTCTTGAACTTTTTAACTAGTGGAAAGTGTTGTGTGCAAACATATATATCGAGTCACTAAAATTATTCTGATTTTTTTCTTTGTCCTATCCTACAGCCCACAGGTCTTTTTGGGTCCAATAAGGTATGTGGTGAAATTCTGGATTTGCATCCCAGGGTAAGGTTGTTGGGACAGTGGTATTGGTCCAGGAGGACCTCTGGACTCAACCAGGTCAGGTATGGCTTTTCACCTCACCTGATTCTCAGACTCCATTCACTCTTGTCTGGCTTTTCCCTACCAGGCATGATGACCCAAAACAAGGTGACYGTGAACGGAGTTGATGTGGTCTCTACGCTGTCCCAGCCCACCCACATTGATATCCACATCCACCAGGAATCGGCCTTGACACAGCTGCTGAAAGCTGGGGCTTCCCTGAAGCAGTTCATTTCACGCCCTCGGGATACTGGGCCTTCTGGGGCCAGGATAAACAATGCTCAGCTGGCTCTGGGGGTGAGTGTGGGGGGCTAGGTGGGACACCAAGGTGACACAGAGGATGGAGAATAGGAAGTGAAAAGGAAAGTGGGTTGAGTCCCACCAGGAGGGACATAAACTCTGTGCGTGTGCCGTCATGTTTGGGAGAAGGCTTGGAGGGTTCCCCACTGAGGATGGGATGGAAAGAAATGGTGCAGAGCGGGCAGTGCCAGCCTCGGGCGGGGCAGCAAGCACAAGACTCTCTGGAGCTGCTTGTGCAATTGGGACTGAGGGCTGCAGGTACAAGGCCATTTGCTGGGCCCTTCACCTGGGTTGTCACCTAAACGTGCTCCACATCCTGCAGAGAGTTCATAACACAAACGATCAGGTGGATCCAGTGATGTGAGAAACAAGAATCACACCTTGTGTCSTGGGCACGCAGGAGTGGAGTCTGCACCAGACCCTGAGCGCAGAAGGACTGGGTTTAGAAAAGGTGGTGGCAGCAGCAGAAGCAAAGGAATTCCAGGTTAAGGAAATGGCAGGAACAAAGGTTAAGAGGCCAGAAAGCCTATGCAGTCGTAAAGAGCAGAGAGAATCGGACTTTCAGCTGAGAGCCTCGTGGCCAGCTGAGGGCCTTGAATGACAGGGAGGCCTGGTGAGTCCGCCTCGGAGGCAGGAGGGCTGTGGGTGGGCTCCAAGCAGGAACCTGGGCCCTGGCTGCCTCTGAGCAGGAGGTGTCCAGGTCAGACGTATGGAACGTCTGCTCTCACTGGTCATAGCAGAAGTGGGGAGGAAATAAAGGCGTCCCCACCCCTTGTGTTTGGGTCTCTGTGACTTGGGAGTCACTGGCTTTGGGATATGAGGGAAGACATGGGTTCAAGATGCCGAGGTCTGGAGTGTGGCTGACTGGGAGACAGGAGTCCTGGAGGGCAAGCGAGGGGACCTTGGAGTGCAGGGGCCGAGTGGATTTCAGCTATGACCAAGCTGAGATGTTCCCAGGACATGCAGCTGGTGGTACCCAGGAGCCTGTGATTGTTGGGTTTCCTGGGAAGTTGGAGTTAGGGTTGCATGGTTGATTGAGGGGTAACACCTATGAAATGAAAAGAGATGGGAAGGGTCGGGCAGGGGGCTCTCAGCCTGCAGTGCGGTGCTGACGAGGTCTCTGTTGGGGGGCTCCCTAGCCAGGATGGCACATCACAAGATTCCACATTGGGCGTGATGGCCTTGAACCATGATCTTGCTCAATCACTGGCTGGGACGCCATCCCCAAAGAATGTGCCCTCAGCTYGAAAGAGGAGGGGGACCCCAAAGGAGCTGAGCTGGGTAGGCCCTCAGCCACCACACTCCTTTCTGGATGGGGTCACACACTTTTGTGCCTACCACAGAGCCCCGTGGGGCCAGAAGCTGAGGTGAGACAGAGTACCTGGACCAGAGAATGAGACTCCCAAGGGAGAAGGGGGAGGAAAACGTGGGACTCACCAGGTGGATGAGAAAGTGTCTATATTCAGAAGAAGCCAGGGAGGAGAACCAGTCAGACCCACGAGAGGGAGGAGTGAAAGCTGAGGGAACAGAACYTTCTGGAGTCGGAGCTGCGGAGAGCTAGACAGAGGAAAGGCAGGAAGCCCCTGGGCAGGAGAGGGGAGGCCGCCCTGGGGTGTGCAGGCCACGGGGAGAGTCGACTTCTTATCCTGTCTTGCAGGTGACCCAGATATTGCTGGGGGTTGTGAGCTGTACTCTCGGAGTGTGTCTCTACTTTGGGCCTGGGACCGGGTCGGCGCTGCGGGCCTCTGGCTGTGCCTTCTGGGCAGGCTGTGTGGTGAGGAAGGAGGTGGCCAGGAGCTCAGAGGGAGGCAAGGGGTCGGCGGAGAAAGTTCCTTTGGCTCTGGGTGGGGGACTTGCGGAAGCCACCAGAGTCCCAATGCCTTTGCTTCCAGGAAGCTGCCTTGCCCTTTTGGTCTTCAAGGCAAGGTTGGGAAGGCGGGGAGAGTGGAATTGAAGTTCTGCTCAGGCCAGGTTTCCTCACTTGTCTCTTGAACCCTGCTTCGCTCTGGATGTSTGGGAACCATTGGAGGAGGGGTGGGTCAGTTCAGGGGAGTAGGCTGGAGGCCTCCTCCTGGTGTCTTCTCTTCCAGGCCATCATAGCCGGAGCTGGGGCCGTGGCCCAYGAGAAGTACCCGGGCAAACTCTCCGTGAGTCGTGGTCATCCGGGTCTTTCTCTCCTACTCTTTCCCATCTCTTCCCTCCYGGGTCTCGTTTTCCTGCTCAGTTTTCTGTCTTCTACCCTTTGGTTCTCAACATCCTGAGGGTACCCCTGGGGGTGTTGACGGGGTTTTCTGTGACAGGAGCKGGGGTAGGAGAGACAGGTTGGAGGGTGGGGGCCTCATGGCTCTGCCATTGCTGGATACGATGGGCATCTTGACCTTCTCCTTCCAGGGCTGTGTGTCAGGCCTGCTCATCCTGGCGTGTATCGCCACAGCAGTGGCTGCGACTGTCCTCTGTGTGACCAGCTTAGTCTGGCAAACCAATGACGCCTCCATCACGGAGGTCAACTCTCCGTGTSATGGTCTCAACACAACCACTAGTTACAGATACAGGTGGAGGAGCTACAACGACAAGTGGAAGGAGGAGAGGTGCAGGAATTACATGGAGAAGATGATGGTGAGGAAGGGTGCGGCCTTCCAGGGACCCACCCTGATCCTGGGCTCCGAGGAAAGGGGACAATGGAGGGCTGAGGCGCAGGCTTTGCACCTGGACCTCACCCTCACTAAGCCAAAGATGTTTCTCAGCCCCCCACAACCTGGAGATTCCCTGAATCTGGGGGATGAGGGGCAGGGAGGAGACTGTGGGCCACCCTCCTGGCTTTTTGTGGGTGCTGCTGGTTATCTCTTGCTATCTACAAACCATCCCCCCACATAGTGGCATAAAGCTCTAGTTGGTTCTTTCCTAGAGTTTTGTAGGTTCCCTGGGCTCAGACGTGGGTTTTCCCATGTGGTTGCAGGCAGATGCCTTTTGGGGGTGGTCATTTGAGGGCACGAGGACAGTTCTTGGCTGCGAGCTCAGCTGGGGCTTCAGCCAGAGTTTGCAACGACTTCTCCAGGAAGCTCTTAGCACGCAACAGGGTCCCCGGCGTAGAGCTGTGAGCGACTCAAGAGGGGGAAATGGAAGCTGCCAGGCTGGTTGGAGGCTGCTGGTCACTGTGTGGGCCATTCCCATTGGGTTTCACRGCCAAGGCAGACCCAGGAGTGGAGAAGGAGACCCCACTTCTCCAGAGGGTGGCAAAGAGCCACTGCAGAAGCCAGGGATGGAGGGATGGTGGTCCCTGCTGCCGGGAAACGCAGTCTACCTTGGTGGGAAGTGGCTCGCGCAGGTCCTGTGCGTGCTTGGGTTGATAAGGTGGTGGTCTGGACGGGATCCGAGGGGCTGGCTCCTGACYGTATCTCTTTCTTCCTTTATCTCCAGAAAATGTTCTTAGCGTTCTGTTCCCTGCTGGCAGCTGTCTGTATCCTGAAGATCATCTTGGCTTTGGCTTCCCTGGGACTGTGTCTCCGGAGTGTGTGTGTCCAGAGCTCCCGGCCCCTGGTRAGGTGTCCGGGAGGTGCTGCTGAGTGGTGTGGGTCTGAGCAGTCARAGAGCGGGAGAGGGAGGAGCATGGGGCCTGAACTCCCTTGTCCAAGGTCAGGCCCCACCTCAGAGGCCGGGCTCCCCACTGCTSTGTCTGGGAATGGGACCTGTTGTGCGTTGGGGGGCTAACTCCTGCCTCCCGGTGCCTGTCAGCCCCTTCCTCTACTCCAGCTCTCCACTGTCTCCTCCACTCCCATCTCCCCTTCCTCTGCCACCTGGCCCTGTTTGCCACTTCCTGTCAGCCTGTCTGTTCCCTCTTTGCTGGGGTCAACTTCTGGGGAGCTGACTTGGCCCTCCGTGTTTTTCCTCCCTTTGGTTGATTTTTTCCGTTTGTCTTTTCCCAGGAGGAGGAAGGGTCAGATAAGAAGCTCCTGGGGGAGGTCCCCTGCGTCTCCCAGGAGAAGACCCCAACTGTGGTCATCTTTTGAGCAGCCTGGCCTGGGGCTCTGCATGTCCCATGAGATGGTGACTGTCCCTGGGCCACGGGCGTCCCTCTTGCCTCGGCTGCAGCTGCTGTGCTGCCCTTCTCCAGCCCTCTCTCCCCGCCTTCCCTCCACCATGCTCTTCCAGTGTCTTGGTCCCATGAAGAGGTCTCGTCACATTGGAGAAAGCTGATTGAAATAAAAAACAACCAGAAAAAGAATTGGCACAGAAAGATGGGTCTTCCTGGGTGTTTACACTTTGCGTGTGTTATGAGAGCTTTCAGCCCACGGAAGCCAGGCCCAGCCAGGCTGCGTTTAGTTAGGCTCTGCTCCGTGATCCCAGAGCTGAATGGCCCCTTGCCATCTCCTTCCATTCAGTGTAAGGTGAGGTGACTGTCATGGGCACAGAACCTTCTCACCCTCTGGGATTGGCTGTGAGCCTCAGAACTTTGGCCTGCAGACTCCACAGAACTCTGGGAGCACGGGCAGGACGTCCCCTCCTGTTCACTCCCCACTTCCTTTTTCTTGCTCTCTTTGCGGTAGTGTTGGTCTTCTCTCCCTCTCTCCCTCTCTCCCTCGCTACGCACGCGCACGCGCACACACACACACACACACACACACACACACGTCCCTGCTGTTCTTCACTTTTCTTTGTAAATGATAGAATTTTTTAAGTCATTTTGAAGTTTCTCATTTTCTTTGCACCTATATGAAAATAACCACAAAGATGTGATCATTTCTGAAGGTACCGTGCTCCAGTCTCCGCGAGGCGGGTCCTGATCCTTTGCTGCCCCTTGGGGAGGAGCTGTTCTGCTGATGTGCAGAAATGCTGAAGTGAGGGGATGTGGCTCTCATGCATGAAAGCCAGGAGCAGGGGCCTGTGAAGAGGGTGGTCTTACTCCCCCCAGGGCCCTTCTCCTGCTATTCCTCAGAAAGAGATTTGTTAAAGAAGCCTGTGAGACTAGAGTGTGTTCGAGCACTGGATGGGCGTCAGTCAGTCATCGCCTGAGGGGTAATTCAGCCGGCCACCTATTTCATAAATAAAGGCTGAGACACAGCCAGCCCGCTTGCTTACACCTCGTCTCTGGCTGTTTTGGGTTACGGTGGCCRAATTGACACTGAACGCCCCCAAACCTAAAATATTCACTATCAGGCTTTTGACAAGAACATTTTACATTTTACTGACCTAGGGTRGGAGGGAAGGGTGGGTTTTCCATAGTGATTGAGGGGCGTGGAGTGTTCCAGAATCCTTCCGGCCAGGAGCCAACTGAAGATGGACGRCAAGTGTAAGGCCATGGGTGGGGCCTCGTGGGAGGACATTAGAGTCAAAGGGAGCCGTGAACCCTGATGGTGGGTTTTAGGAGCGACCTTTGAAGCTGAGCAGGAATGCCAGGGAAGAGGCTGAGATCAGGCCGGGGCCTGAGACGCTGCACCACAGGACTCGGACGCTGTCCTAGAGTCGGTGTTGAGCCACTGAACGACTTAAGCAGAAAACATACTCCGATTTTTATTTCCRTCTCTTACTGATGACAAACCACATCCAACAGCCTGGAAACCTGAACAGGACACATGAAGCTGAACTCTGAGTGTGGGTAGATGGTCATTTCCTCCACAGGCCACGCCAGTGCCCTAACAGGCTAGAACGCTTAGGCAATCAGGACTCGCAGAGCTTAACTGGTTTACTCCCCTCCCAAGGTCTGAAATCCACAAACCAYCCCTCAGGAAAACCTGAGCCCAGGATCACTGGTAACCGCAACCCAAGGAAAGAAATCAGAGCCTGAACCTCAGCATTTACTTTATACCAGCTATGGAGCAAGGGAAGCCCCCATTCTTTGCCAAATAAGTAAATGCAAACATAGTGGAGTCCAGAAGCCAAACTGGGTTGAGGTGCATATTGTGCAGAGAGACAGAATTGGTCAGCTTCCCATCACCATAGCAAATCCCAGAGATAGTCAATTTACCAAAAAAAAAAAAAAAAAAAAAAAGATTATTTTAGCTCATGGCTTTAGAAGTTTAGGCCATGATACACTGTCCCCAATGGTTGTGGGCCTGTGGCAAGACAGCTCATCAAGGCAGGAGCAGGTGGTGGAGCAAATCCACTCACCTGATGATCAGGGAGCAAAAAATAAAAACAACAACTCCCCTCCACCAAACAACAAACAAAAACATGGAAAGAAGGGGACTGGGTTGCACTCTTTTAAGAGCACACCCCCAATGACCTGAGGATCTCTCATCAGACCCCATCTCAMAGGTTCCRGCACCTTCCAATRGCACCACTCTGGGGAGCAGGCCTTTACCATGTGGACCTTCGGGAGATACTTATGGCTCAAACCCTAGTAGAGACTCACCTAGGTAGCCTTCAAGAAAAGCAGATTCATAAAGAGACGTTCATTGTTGCCTGTCTGTGAGTCTGTGGTGTTTCTGCATGTCTTGGGAGCCGTGGCCCTGACCCCCTGTGCTCCAGTCTGTCTTTCCAAAGATATCTGTGCCTCCTCAGGAGTAGCCCTGGAAACTAGTGTCTCCTTCTGGAGCAAAGGACAGGCAGGCTTATTGCCTGTAATAAAAGAGTCAGGTTCCTTAAGCTCAGGGGTCTTCTCCTGGAACCCAGCTGATCGCATGTGCAGCTGGCMCTTGCAATGCCTCTTGGCCTGRCCGTGGRAATTGGGCTCTGGRACCAGTGCAGAAGGGCTGCATGCCSGTAGCAATGGCTACTGCCRTTRCTGTGAGTAATAATGGTTCTTTATCTTTTGATTCAGGGGTTTTGTGCTTCTACCAGCATCCATGAAACCGTTCACATGTTGAACTTCATTGTTCTTGTGTGCTGCTGACTGCAAGTTCCATAACACACAGACTTGGTTTGTGGATATCAAGGAGTTGGCAATTTTGTTAGGAGACAAGACGTGAATCCTAGGCTGCATGGAATGAATATTMCTTTACTGTCAAATGAATGACACATTAGGCAGGAAGGCAGTCAGTGTAGGGAGATGAGGAACAGAAGAAGGGAAGATATAAAGGAGAAGGCACTCGGGGGAGGGGGTTCCGAGGTGGGTGTGCAAACGGGCTTGACAGGGCAGAATGGTCAGGGTTCTCACACCCCAGTGTTCACGAGTGTATTTGATGGGGCTGAATTATTTGCTCATTCACCAGCTTGATCTCAAGAAACAGTGACCGAGGGGGGTGGGGTGAGGTGCTGCCTATTAGTTGTCACACATGTTGACATTCAGGACTCCATCTACAACGATCCTAATCTGCAYGGCAGCAGGGGTGTCCTCGGGGCTTGACAAGCACCCAGAGTCCTTGGGGGAGAAAGGGCACCATYCCAGCCCTTTCTAGAATAGAGTGGAATGTAGTGGATGCTATGGGTTGGATATGTCCCCCTCAAAATCTGTATGTTGAATTCTCAATCCCAAGTGGCTCWGAATGTGACTGTGTTTGGAGACAGGACCTTTACAGAGGTAATCGAGTKAAAATGAGGTCAGTGGATGGGCCTAATCCAACATGTCTGGCCTCCTTATAAGGAGAGGAGATTAGGATACAGAGGGAAGACGGGAGGGCACAGAGACAGGCCTCAGCAAGCCTCAGAAGAAACCTGCCAACACCTACACCTTAGACTTCTGCCTCCAGAACTGGGAGAAAATGCACTTCTATTGTTTAAGCCACACAGGATGTGGCGTTTTGTTTCAGAGGTCTGAGCAGACTAGGACCCTTGGAGATGGGGCAGTTGGGGAGTGGGCCCAAGGGGCACCCCAACACTCCCTTCTCAGGGATCCTTCCGCAGGCCTCCCAAGGGCAGCCGCTGATGCAGCAGGGCTGCACGCACACCTGTCTTGGCTCTCCCAGCCACAGCTGCTGGGGCTGCTGATCCTGGGTGCGTCACAGAGCACCCCCTGCCAGGTCTCCTCAGGTCCTAGGCCACTGTCACACAGTTTCATGGGCTGCCCTTTCCTCTCTCTGTGCGTCTGACCTTCACCGTCTCCAGGAAATCCACCACCCCCCAGTGCTGCCTTAGGACCCCCCCCCCCCACCCTCACGGCTTTTCCAGGATAAGCTCTTTCATCATAATCTCCACAGCCACTGGGATTTCTGGTGCAATCTCCTTTAATATGATTTCCTGTAAATCTCCAACATTTCTGTATCATCTCTTCAGGGAACACAGATGCTAACAGGGCAGGAAGAGCAGCCCTCCGTAGTTTCAGCCTAAGATTTCAGCCACACTCGGAAGCCAAGGCTCCTGAAACGCCTTTCCATAAGGGTCCTGTGTGGTCAGAAAGGCGGCGGGTACTTGGGAAGCAGGASTCAGTCATGTCTTGGTCAGTTTTTCTATCACGCTGATGTTGGGTTGCTGGGGTCCCCATTCCTCCGGAGTATCCTCCCTCCCCTGAGCACGGCCCTGCCTCTCCCCCCTGAGACTCGACCCTTTCTGGTTCCACTCAGAATAGATGACTCTGAGACCCCTGAAGGGTAGCAGCTCTTTGGGAGCTACCGAGTCTCAAATTGGGCATTTTCAATCCTTGGGGTGTCTCCGGAGAGGATGAGGTGGTGGAGGGGGGAACTGTGGCCACGAGGACGAGGACAAAGAGGAGATAAAAACCSCGCCCTCCCTCTGTAATCATGACGCCTTTGCCGGTGGGGACAGGATTCTCTGTGTGGGTCACACCAACCCAAGGGACGGCATGATCCTGACCCTTAGCACAGAAGCAGGTGGTCGGGGAGCATGCCYGGGAGAGGGACCATGAGGAGGGAAGATTTTTGACGCACAATTCTCTGCTTTTCTGCAGGTTGCGGGGATCTTGGGGGTGGGTATTAATCCATATTCACTTAATGAACAAATGAATTTGGGGGAAGAGGTGACAGGGGAATAGCTAATTCTTTTTTTCACTTGTATATTCACTTGAATAAACATTTTGGTGGTCCCAATTCTTGTTGTTTAAAGTGTAATTCATTGTCCTGTAACCTGGGCAACGGGGGGGGGGGGGCTTGCTAGAAGGCAAAATGTCCACACCGCCCCGGACAGGTGGGGTCAGAATCTGATTTGCCCCAACGTCTCAGGTGCTTTGGGTGCTCAGAAAATTTTAAGAAAGTCTGGTTCATAGGAATCACTTTTGATGGCCTGCTGGGAGATTCCAGATATGGAACAAGGCTCCTTGAGTTTATTCTTTTTATTTTATTTTATGATTTTACAAATTCATTAACCTCAGAGTTTGAAA